CTTCTCTGTGTGCTAACACATGCCATTAATCATATAAATTATAGATTAAGATTACTGAAATGAAAAACTAATAAAATTAGTTTTATGGAAAATTGCAACTTGAGATGATTATTAGTTTTCCTCTTAATTTTATGGTTGTACTTATTAAAAAGCAGACATTATTTGTACGAAACTCTGATGAAGGAGTGCAGTGTTTGACACTGACTGATGTGAATGTTGCTTTTGAAGATCACTGTGCCATGGCAAAATAATTAACACTGTTGGGAACATGACGTTAATTTGATTTAAATAAAGGGGGAAAAAAGTATTGCTGTGAAGAGGGGCTCTAGGCGAACACATAACCTTCGTCCAATGCTAAAACTTTAATGTGCAACGCTAATGTGTTTTCTGGGATTCTTTAGTCAACCGTCACTGAGAGGAGGAAACATAACCCATAATTTAAACTTTGAATGAGAAAAAACTAAAACTGATTATGATTATTTGCAATTGGCTAGCAGTTAGATTTAAGCAGAAATGTATACGGCGCACTTTACCATAGACAGGATTTGTCTGAAAAGGAGTTGTATGAATTGTAGCAATGTACATAAACTCACAATTCCATACAATTCATAATACTAGGTTCATGATATGATTTTTCTAAACAAATGAGATTCAAGACAAATTATGACTGAAAGAGATTCTATTCTCAGACAAAAAAAGAATAATTTCAAATTTCGGAACTAGGGTATAAATGTGCAAAACAATGCATATTTCCTTTCTTTCTAAAAGCAAAAGTGAAAATATAACCCCGTCAACTACCAAACACAGCCTCATATCTCCTGCCATGTCCTGTCCGTCACCTTCTTACCTTTTTCATATTCTGACTTAAATATCTATCCTCAATTTTCTTCTTCAAAGTCTTCACCTGTGGTCACTTCTTTGCGTCTTAATACAGCTACAGACCCAAGTGGCGTCAGAAGTAGCACCCTCTACTGTTTAAAAAGAGTATTATGATCCGATTTGACACATATTTGTATCACAATTTAACTGACTGATAATATACTGTATTCTTAATTCCCAGTGAATTGGTATTTTTCTATGTTTGGACTTTTATGAACAAGCAGTTGAATTGCCTGACCCTGTGGGCCATTTAAACCATAGTCCTTAAAAAGCTATTTGCTGATAAATCAAATAAATTTTGATATGTCATTTTTCACTCAACATGGATGTACTCCTGAATCCTGTTTAGTGTTTCAAAGCCTACCCCCACATCACCTCCAACATTCAAAGCTTTCCTCTCCAACCAGCTGGGCAACCCTGGAGAAAAACACTCCCACTGTTCCATTCTCCTGAGAGAATATTTCATAATGCCAACTTATGACAGCCCTTTTGAGGGATAAAGTAAACAGCAGCTCCCTCAAGAGAAGCTACACCAAAGAAAGAAAACCCAAAAAGAGAAGGAGGATGTTAAAGAACTGGTTAAAAACCCACATTCCCCCCATCTAACGCCACTTAGGAACAAAAGTAATTTCGTCCCTCCTTTGAAATATTCATGAAGCTGTTTGGTTGGAGAGCAGTCCTAACTCAAACACAGACAGACACTAAATTTAGTTTGACTTGTGTATGTGTAAAAGTGTCTGTGTGTGTGTGTCTGAGAGTGACGGCCTGTATGTGTGTGTACTGTAAGAGCGTGTGTGGGTTCAAGGCTTACATAACTATGCTCTTCAGGAGCGTGAGTGTGCAAGTTGGGGTGTGAGTGTGTGTGTTTGTGCAACTGTGTGCCCTCTGTCTTCTAATTTGACACAGCTTTTTGAGAGCCCAGAGTCTGCCCCAAGCGCTTTCTCTACTCAGAGTTTTTGTGTACCTGCGTGTCTGTGTGTGACTGTACTTGGTGTGATACTGAGGTTATTCCTCTGCACATCTGCTCAGTGTATGAAAAACTAGGGTGTGTCAGGGGTTTTTGTATGTGTGTCATTGTGCCTGTGTTTATGATAGACTGTCTCCGCATGTGTGTCTGTGTAAACGTCATTGTGCGTGTGTCTGTGTATGTATTGCATATGTGTGTGTTTGTGTGGCCAAAATGAACTGTCTTATCTAAAATTGCTGCAGTAAATTGCTCAAAATGACAAATCCCCATTACGTTCCCCACACACACAACTGCATACACAGGCACCTGCCCTTTCTTAGCACCGTAACACAGTGATTGAAATAGCAGCTATAAGCGCTGCTGTACAGTTGTAGTTACTCTCAGTCCACTTCATTTTGTCCTTTCCCTCCGGATACTAGCCCAGTTATTAGGACATATCTTCCCGTCCACATGCGCACACACACACTCACAAACACACACAAACATGTCTATGATACAAACAGTGTACTATCATCCTATACCTACAAAGTGTAGAACCAGCCCATTCAGTTGGTGGGCCGTGGGCCGCATCTGGCCAAGAAGAACCTCAGAGTGGCCCAGCATACATAAATCTGATGTATGACAAAATAAGTAAGAATTAGCTAAGGAGCCATTGCCCTTTCTTCCAGTCTCTGCTGAGGGTTGCACATGTACAGCACCAACCGATTTTTCATAGGAGTCCCAACCAAATTAGCTTTTCAAATCATCTGGCTATATTGACACACACATAGGTGCCTTACTGAAAATATGTCTGGGTCAACCATGAAACATGAAATTGAAAACCATAATTTTAACCCTGCCTGTACTAGCAAGTACTTTTATTTTGTTTATTTATCATCAGTGTGTTTATTTTGCAATGAGTATGTTATGGTGGTTAAAGAAAATAATATCCATAAGGCATTGCCCTGACTGATGTCTACCTATTAAAGAGAGGACCTCAATATACTGCAGGACTGTCTGCACCTAGTCATGTACATATTCAGTCTTTCTTGATTTCTTTTCTATTCTTGCTTTGTTATTATACGCGCTTCCTTTTCATCCTGTGCTCTGGACCAAACTCTAAAATCTAACATACGTTTTTCTTCTTGCTGTGTTCTCTGCTCCCTCCATAGAAAACTGGCTGTCAAATTAGATCATGGCCACACACTTCAATACTAACCTCTGTAATCTCACACAGATATGGTCGTATACAGGTACTCTACGAACTCCGACCTTACTTTTCATGGTCGGTGTGTTTTACTAGCATGTTTTTTTTTCTGATTTGTAGGGAGCTATAGCAGAATCACCTCCAAGGTTGCGGTAATACGGTGGCGAGAGGAGAGATTCATTTTTCATGGCTCACTGAGTTAGATCCACACCTTATGGATGTTTTGAAGCATGTGCAGAGGTTTGGTCACTGGACTGCAAAGAATGAAGTGCAGCTGCAGGTTTCAACCTTTGGCCAAGGTTTCCAGTTTCCAAATAAGGTACAACTCTCGGAACACCTATGTTCTTACAACTTGACATTTAATTGAAGCTGACAGTGCCTACGTTTTTCCAAATCCTGGGAGAACTTCGACAAGGCCACGTTTTTCAACCTCCTAAGTTACATCCTTATGTAACTTGTTCATGTTTTCCAACTTTGAAACCTCGCGGGATTCCATTTCAAACTTTGAAAATCCCTCTGCAACACCAGGAAATTGGAGGATTTCTATGTTACTATCTCTTTAACTGTTATTGTGCTGTCAGAAAGTTTTAGAAGACTCCTCTCCAGATGCGTAGGTCAAAAGGTCGAAAGCAAATAATTGGCTGGGGCATTTTAAACTCTTGAAAAAACATCTGGTCTGCTCTCCAACCTCTCCTTGAAATGAGCTTGTTATTATGGAGTGCTGGAATATCTTGGAGAATAGTTGTGTGAAATACCTGAAACTTGCCTTCTCCCATATCTTGACAACTCTCCCCCTCCTCCCTTCTCAGCCTGAGAGCAGCTTTCTTCTGTTCAGCCAGGTATGTGCATATTGCTCTCCTCTCTCTGTCTCTCTATTCCTAACGTTGTAATTATCTCCAAAACTTGATAAAACCCTCAGGCTCTCTCCCTCTCCCTCTCTCAATCTCGCTTTATTGCCATCGTTATATTGCACTTAATCATCCCATGGTGCTTTACTCGCGTTGGCTTCTGATCTATCCGTCCTTATCTCACGCTTTCTCCATCTCCTGTCATCCCTCTGTTCCTTCTTATTCTCCTTCTCTGGTCCTCTCCCTCCTTCTCTGCACACTCACTGTCTCTTTTTCTCTTTTTGCCGTTCTTCAGGCAAAGTATGTTTTTCAAACTCATTACAGTTTGTCAGAAATAGGTCGAATAGCAAAATACTCCCTCTCTCCCTCTCCCTTCTGTTTCCATTATTCCACACCTAGTTTTACTTCAAGCTTGTTTACTCCCTCCACCTCCAATCCCAGCTCCTTCACAAGGCTATGCTTTCATCTCAGATGATTGCGGGTTTAATCTCACGCCTCTCATGCTTGAGCACGCCTGTGAACCAACAGGATACACTTTGATGCTTTCACATGTGCTAAAAGGTATATCCAGTTTTAGGGATGTAGGAGGTCTACTGTACTTTTACATCTTCCTCCATCGGTGTGAAAAGGATGGCATTTTAATGCCAATGCAGCCCTCTGTAACTTTTTCATTTAAAGCCGTACACCTACATGCATTAATATTCATGTACAGCTGCAAATCAATGGTTGTGTTGTCCTGCGGTGCATTTAAAGACATGGAAGTAGACAGTTTCTTTTTGTAAGCACAGTAAGCTGATGTCTACTACTGACCTGCTTCTTTGAATGTCTCGCTTTATTGGGTACACAAATTCCAGCTCATTAATTCATATTAGGCTCAGCACAGCAGGACCCCAACTGTGTGAGGATGTGTGTGCTTCTGTTTAGGCTTTTTATGAGAAGCAAACATAGAGGGAGGAGTGTATTACATCAACACAACTCGTATGTTTAAATGAAATTGCTCCTCTGTGATGATCACATGGGTTATAGTGGTTGGTTTTTTTTTTGCTTTTGAGACTGGGGACATCTGGAAATATTTGTGTTGTTAACAGGTTTTTCTGTATGTTCTGTGTGTTTTTTGCAGGATGGTTGAATACTCGCTGGATCTGCAGAATGTCAACTTCACCGCTATCAGAACAGTGAGGGTATTGCGGCCTCTCAAAGCAATTAACAGAGTGCCAAGTAAGTTAAAACACCACTGTTACCAAAATGAATTTAACATAATACATTCCATTGCCCAAAAAGAGACAGTGGACTTGGAGTGCCTTAGCAGTATGTACATCGATTGGGCAAGAGTGGATGCCAACGCTGACAAGTCATCTAAAGATTTTTCTGCTGTTTTTAAAATAATTGTTCAATTCATGCTGAAATAAAAACCCTATTATACTGTTATATATCTGACAACTGAGAGATGACAGGATGTTCATTCATGTAACGACGTCTGTGGCTTTCATTCAGCACCATGGACAGCTGTGTGCAAGAGCAGCCTGAGCTTGGTAGCTTATTCGCTGTCCGTGGTGCTGAATATGAGTCATTAGCCAGGAATACCTCGACTGTGAACACGGTCAGATCAGATGGAAACGAGCTGTACTCATTAATTGCTGAAAGGAGAGGGATTTGGCTTTGAGCTGATTAGAGCCATGATGATTTTTAACCACTGCAGTGAACAACATATCAAAGTTTAACTGACGTATATTTTAATTTGTGAAAAGTTTGGTTTGTTACAATACAATGATAAATACCATGCAATGCCATAAAGCCACTTAATCAGAAGCACCCTGTCTCAAAAATGACAACAGACAATGGGTGGCAAGTTTATTTGTATAGCATTCTTTCAGCAACAAGACAATACGTAAGACATAAAATACATCATGACAAGATATAAAAGAAACAACACAATAGAAAACACAGTTAACTAGAAAATAGTAAATAAAAAAGAAAATAAAATAAGCTAGAACAAGACAGACTGATAAAAAAAAATACAGCACAGCTACAGTGCAGTGAAAGATATCATTAAATAGTCCCAATTTTAATTTAATAAAAGGCAGAGCAGTGGCAAAGAGAAACGGGCTCAAGCCTGGATTTAAAAAGAAAAACCCGCAGAGTTGGAGCAGACCTGGGAGTTTGCTTGGAGTTTCTTCCAGATGAGAGGTGCATAAAAACTAAACACTTCTTCTTCTTGTTTAGTTTTAGGGACAGAACGCAAACTTGTCCCAGATGATCTAAGAGGTCGGAAAGCTTCACAATGTAGCAGCAGAAGATACTGTATATAAACGCATGATTCAAAACACAAATGCAGGCAGTACATCAGATTTAGGGTGCACAAAAGACTATGGTCAGAATGAGAGTGTTACTTAGCACTCAGTATAGTGTAGTGGCTTGGTTTCACATCCCATGTCATACTTTCTGTGTTTACTTTGGATCGTACGCAAAAACATGTATTGAAAATAAATGAAATAATGTACGTAAAATTGATTATGTAAAACGTTTACTTAGAAAGCTTTTAAGGCACTCGCAGCTTGTGTTTCCCAAATTTCTACAATATAGGGGGAGAGTACAAAGTTAGGATGACCCATAGTCAGAATGGGTACAAATATGCCAATAACATCTCAGTTAAAACCTACTAGAATTAACTTTTTAAATAAATGACATGAAAGGACATGGCATTAATTAGAAACCACCATCACCACTCAGCAACCCTAAAGTACTTCAGAGATATTTTTAGGGCTAGTCAGAAGTAAAACAGTCACATCATGTCTGCTTGTGATAACAAGGGAGAGAGAGAGAGAGAGAGATACTGCAGTCTGACTGACATATAAGATTACATTTCTTTAGTGATTAGAGAGAGACATCGAAGAATATGTTACCGTATTTTAAGTTTGAGTTTGAGTCTTATTTTACACTGATCTTTCAGAGGACCACACTGACATTTTATCTCTAAACAGTTCCTAAAAACATGCTGAGAATTCCCCTCGGACATAAACTCAGCTTATTTACACAATTTAACTGTTTTATTCTGTGGTGCGCTAATAACTAATGAACAAAGGAAAATGTGGTGTGTATTTTGTGAGTATTGAGTTTTTGGTAATATGGGAAAGAAACAGGTGTAATCACCAAGATATATAGACAAGAACCTTAATATTGGACATTTCAGGAAAAAACTCTGGCTTATGTTCAATGATGTTTTTTACATTCTATTCCAGCATTTTTAAAAATCTCTCTTTCTAAAATATCTTTGCATGGCAAATGTAATATGGTTAACGTTAGCGCAAAGTCACTGGAATTCTGGAGTAGCCCTTTAAAAGTAATATATCAGTTTCTGTTTATTTTTGGAAAAATCCATCTTCAAACTGCTGATTAGATTACTGATTAGTTTTTCATGGCCTGGTACGTCCTGTCTTAATCATTCTGTGCACAGTTTCTGTTAAAAATCAGCACTTGTAATACTGTGAGACTGGGTTTGAGTATGGTGTTTACGGCTCTACCTTGCCCACAGATGCTTCCTCGTGTTGCCAGTGACACGACAAATGCCGCAGCACTGATTGTGTTTAATTCTACTATTCATTGTGGAGCAAATGGGCCACATTAAACCAGGACCATTGTATGCAGCACCATACATGTCGACACAAACCCGACTGCCAAATGAAGCCCAAATGCCTTGTTGTCTTGACTATAATTATATAAATTTGATTGTGTACCTGTTATTGCGAGGAGCTGGCCTGGCGCTTTACAAGTGCAGCTGTGCCTGTGTGCAAATTGATTTTGTCTTTTGCATTTCAAACAATGATCTGCACAAAAATAAAAGTGGAAAGAGTAAAATTGAAAAGGCCAAAGAGAGAACAGAGAGGTCACATTTAATCTCTGCTCAGCCAATGTATTGGATATAGTCATAATAGCTGTACAAGTCATTTCATCCTGTGTGAGGAAACAAACTCCAAAGGACACAAGTACAGGGCTATTTAAATCCCTTAAAAGTAATTTCATCCACCCTGAACTGTTCTGATTTTGACAAAATCTCCTCAGCACCCAAACCCATCACTGAAGCGATGCTCAGACGCCGCTGAAGTGTTTTGAGCGCCCCAACCCTGTCACGTCGACTCCGAGAGTGCTGCTTAGTCTCTATCCTTTTTGATGATAATAATCAGAGCATGCTTCTAGTTGCTTTTGTGCTTTATGTGTCTAAATTGTGCCTAGCAGGCAATCATTTTAAGAAGCTATGAGTACTCTCTAAGTCGGATATGCTGGTGCTTGAAGTTAATGTTGTTTTGCTTCCTTTATAAGTATAATTGCTAAACCTCCCACTGCTCATAAATCTGCAACATAAACTATCCGAGCAATTTATTTTTTTTTCCTTCTCTGAAAGCAGTTGCAGCTAATTTGGTTGGTCACAAGTAAATGTGTGTTGACTTCTATATTTGGCACATCATTATATAGAAAATATATGAGCAGGCATGCACACATGGAGAGCACTTTAACATACATTGGAGACCAGTGATGTACCTAGAATAAAGGATACTTCTGTTTCAAATTCAGATGAAATATCCTACGATATGAATGGAAAGTATTGTTTTTGCAACTTCCTTTTCCAACACTTTTTAGCTCAAATATAGCTTAACCATGTCATGTGATCTACTTTAGTCCACCTTGAGAACCAAAATTGCCGGAACCACTACAGAAAATTGCAGTTAAACATTTAATATCCAGGAACTGACATTATAAACACTATCGCTGACCACACATGGTCCAGCCATATACTAGGTTTCGACCTGCTCTTCTGTCTCTGTCTGTGAAAAGACAGAATTACCCTCTATCACTGCATTCCCTTTGTTTGTATCAATTTCCCGCTTTGCATCATTCATTCAGGGCTAATCTCTAATCCAGGCTCCACCCCTCCGCATAACTAGTTGCAGTATTTTTTACCCAAACTATGATCTTTCCCAAACTCATTTATTGGAGACTTTCCTTATGTGAAAAAGCTAAAATGGGTTAGTCAATAAATGTCACAGGAATAATCACTGTCCTCTCTATCGTATTACCTTGAGCATGACTATAATCGTCATGTCTTCTTAACAGGGTAGTTTTGGTTGCCTCACCTCAACTATACTGCAATCATAGCAGTGACAGATGACAAAACAGATGACTAAACATTTAAGTCATTTTTTGCATCCATTTTTTGTTTAGACATAGGGACTATTTTAAGACTTTCTTTCTTGAGTGTGAGATGAGTTAGGTTGTGCTCACCAGACGTCATGACATGGAAAACTAAACTCTGTTAACTTTATACTCATTAGTGCACCAAAGCAAACATTAAACAACAGCTACCATTACACAAACTATTCCACTCCGTAAGTCTTGCATTACAGAGGTTTGTGTTTCAAACTTTCATTACATTCCTAATGGCCATTGAATGGGTTATTTTGTACAGCTCTCTGTTGGGAGGAAACACAAACAATGATAAGTCATTAGAGTCTAAACCATGTTTACAGCTGTAATCTGGCAATTCTATGAACAGAGGTGACATTTCTATTCATTAAGCTTCCTTTTTGACATTAAAAAGGCGAATGTGTTATATTGTTCTATATGTAACAGTCAGTGCAAGTCACCAAACACTTTGATCCCCTCGCGCTAGATTAATGCTTTTTTTGCGGTTTATTCAGCAACGTTTCAATAAGGACATGGCATTTGTGTTAAGGAAGGATAAAAGAGAAGAAGAAGCAGGTGAGATAGGAGAAAAAAGAGACACAAAGAGAGACAAACGAGGGAGGGAAAAGGGGACTATCCGGCTCCGTGAAGGATAGGCAAAGATGGACGAGAGGAAGAGAGGGATGATGAGAGGAAAGATGCGGGGGGACTCAGATGAGCAGGCTATTACGATGATAAATAGAGCCGAGGAGACAGTGCAAGGGATGGAGGGAGTCGTTGGATGGATAGAGATGAAATGAGCAAGGGACAGAGAGTACGGAGGAGGGGACAGTGGAAGATCAGATGAGAAAAGCGAGATGAATAGATCTTAGAGAATAAGAAGAGTTTTATTATTATTTATTTTATAATTGATCTTGTTTTTCATTAATAACCCGGTGAGATGACAAGCAGCACTATCCCAACACCCATTCATTCATTCATAACACATTTTCTTTAACTTTAACCTCACTGCTGTTGGGTGAGGTGCTGATCCTAATGTTACATTTTCTCTCAGACCTTGAGTCTAAGAGAGATAGCAAAACAGACACACTCACACACCTACACACACACCACTTGAAGCCACCATGGTTCCGTGTACTGTATGTTCAAGACATTTACATTAATTGGGCAGTTTTAGTGTGGCAACCATTAATGCAGAAAAAAAATGTAGGCTAATGGTTGAGATGCTGGAATAAAATAGCTGCCTGTTTGCTTAAACATGTCATCTTAGGTTTTACCTGTGGGTTGTGATCTATTCCTGTGGTGGTTATTACATAACTTATCTACAGGTAACTATCCAGAATCTCTCCAGGCTATGCTCCAAGGAAAACAAAACAAAATGTGCCACCTCCTGTTTATAAGAGAACATTGTTATTCACACCCAAAGCTAATGTTCAGTGCAAGTGCAGGAAGAGATGATCCCTTTATTAGGGGAAAAGTAAGGGTGTGAAGGTTGCAGTGGTTGATAGGTGCCTGCCATGTTCAATTTTATGTAATGTGTAAATGTTGGCTCAGCAGCTAATGTTGTTGACTTAATGGCTGTAAGGATGGCAATGTCATTCAGTTGGTCAGCCCGTCCTTAAGGTCCAAACTAAAATGTTGACAAGTATAGGATGGATTGCCATACAATTTTGTAAAGATATTCCTGTTACCCACAAGATACCACAAAACTTAGGATATTGCTATTATCCTCGGCTGTACGTTTTCTGCTAACTAGATAGTATTAGCAGGCTAATATGCTAAGTGTGTGAATGGGGACCATGGTAAAAACGGACTTCTTCTTCTCAGCATGTCAGCATATTTATTATAACAATGTCCGTGCTAAATCATTTTACAAATGTCGGCATTGAACGTCAAACAATCCAAAATCGTCCAACACCAGCGACTGTCTGCTGACCGGGTCTGGTGAAGCGTAAAAGCTTTCTTGAACTGGATGGCTCACTTAAGCTTTATCACGTATTGACAGGACAATTACCAACATAAATATGAAAGTGTTAAGTTATTTTGTTAACCTCCAGCCTCAATGGCCACGGGATGAAGAGGTCAGTTTATAACAAGCACAGCTGTGCGCTGCACCAGATCCAGCACCAGCTGCCAAAAGCCAGTTATTTCACTCGTCTTTATTTGTTGGATGAATAAAGAAGCAATTCTCTCCTTTATTAAAGACAATTTACCACAGAGCTCATCTCAGGGGCAATTCAATCTCCATGCTGCCGGTGAGACACAAACACAGAGTGCTTTACTCTTGCAGACACAGACAAACACACCAGCCTATGGACACACACAACATATGCAGGGACACCAAACCACAACCAATGCAAAGCTGCAAACACTTGCATACACGCACTTGTCGGCACATACTGATTGAATGTGCACACGCATTCAGTGGACGACGTGTGAAGTGAACAGAAGAGTCAGTTAATGGGACGCTAATGGAAATTAGCCAGGCCTGATTCCCACTGGGCACAGCTTAAATGACTGGGCCTGTTTACTACATTACCCACAACCCTCCCCTTGGGAGTAGGCTGTATTAGCAGCCAAGGTAACGGTCATCAGCAAATTCTCTACCTCCCACCCCTCTCCTTTCATTTTTATTTTGTTAATTCTCACTTCTAATCTAGTTTGCACTTTGCTTATTTCCTTTTGCTTCTAATGTTCCCCTCCCTCCATCTGCAGCTGCTCCCGCATTCTGCTGCAAATGATTAAAATGATTAAAGTTGCTTTTTTTTTATAAAACAAACATTTGTTGCATGATCAAATAGCCAGGCTAATGTTATTATTCCTATAAAGTGACTTTAATTTTACTTTCTAGTGGGAACAATTTGGAATCTTTTCATCTTTCAATCAAGTCACAAGCTTGGGAAATAAGTTGTTATACTGTGTCCTTTTATGTGCTGTTTTATGTCTCTTTTCTACATTTTTAACATTTTGCCTTGTTTCATTCTTTTATTTTATGTGATTAACTTATTCATATTTTGAAACATATTATATACAGTTTACTATTATTACTGTGAAATAATATTTTAATAAATATATTTTTCACATTAAGGTGTATTGAGTGATATTGCAGCACTATGTCATCAAACAGACTTAATCCATGTGAGGAAAAGAGACGTCTGTTTCAACTTCCTCAAAGGAACTCAGGTTCTGTGATGCGTAATGCCTGGTAACAACACTGCAAGTGATGGATGTCCAGTTTAGTTCAGTGTAATTTAATTGGATTCAGATCAACTAACTTGATTTGAATGGCACTCTGCATAGTCAAACCAGTAATCACACTAATTTAAAAAAAACAAGGCCATCAATAGAAATGGATCAAAGTAGAAGTGCTTTCCAGGGCACCTTTTTAGAATTATTCTGCCCTGGCTGGCAGTGAGCGCTAACTGTTTGAAGTTAGGAAGGAATTTCATGGCAGTAAATCATTAAATATTTAAAACAAAAATCCAAACTAAGCTCATCATACTGCTCACCAAAGGTCGTTGTCTGTGTTTGTACTAAAAGGAGGAGGGAGGAAGGACATCTTGTATTTTTCAGAACAAAACCGAAATCTTGCCCCTTTGAGAGGGATTTAATATCCATGAGATATATGCATTTTTCTGTTGGGAAGTGAAACATTCTGCATTTCCCACAAGGACATAGAAAACTAGTTTGATCCATTGCTAATCATTCTTCATTGCTCAGACTGAATACATATGTAACATTTAACATACGGCTGTACTTTTTCAGTGCAATGTCACATTTGATGTTTAGTCAAATATCCAGGTATCCTTAAAGGCTTCCAGCTTCCTTATCTTCTGCTTCTTTAGACTCAAATATCTTAAATCAAGTGTAATTTTCCAGGACCCCTGGGAGAAGGTCTGAAGACCGCCCGCCCACTTTCCCCTGATTAGTCAGCTAAATGCTGTATCAATCCTGTATCAATTTTACCCATTGAATTTAACCCCTGGTTTAGTTTCCTTATACAGATCAGAGCCAAAGTAATGGGCCGTGGGATCACAATTAGTGTGGAGATTAGGGATTGATTAGCTAATTATGATAATACGACGGATAATATGGAAATGCCAGTGTAATGTGTTAATTTCTGCTGAGTGGGAGGGAAAACAGAGAATGTGTTTGTGGGGAAAAGAGAGTAAAATAGTTAGTTAAGTGGATAGAAGAGAATTTTGAAAGTGTGTGTGTGTGTGTGTTTCTGTCTACAAGTGCACAAATTATACAGATGCATCTTTGTGACTGATACCTTAGTATGAATTATTGGGTGTCTCTTTACACGCAACAATCAGTGTTTTAAGCTCAGTGAATGAAATGGATTGTTAGGTTTCCAGAGAGGAAATAAAATATGACCAGTAAGCCAGGCAAATGTGAGTGTGGACTCCCTGTGTTTCTGTTCAGTGGCTGCCTCTGTCAAAGAGTAAATGTCTGATGCATCGCAGATCAAAAGGTCAACAGGACTACAACAGCTCATTCAAATGTGAAAGAGAAGGGGCATTATCTTCTGCCTGAATTTAAAGGACATTAGTTTAACCGTTAGTGTCTTCTGTAACCTGAGTATCTCAAAAGTTTTTTATTAGTGTATAATCTCCTGAATATAGGAATAGTTATGTTTTTGTTACCTTAGCATGAGCAGTTTTTATCTACATACGCCAGAAAAATGAGAAAAACAAGAAAAGCGTCACAAATCCAGTCTACCTCCAGCTGTAAAATTAAGATTAGAGGTGGGTCACACTTAGTTTGGGATTAGAGCTGAGGTTATGAGGCATGTGTCGTTGTATAAATGTTTTTGTGTTTGTATCCTTAGGCATGCGTATCCTTGTGAACCTGCTCTTGGACACGCTGCCCATGCTGGGTAACGTCCTCCTCCTCTGCTTCTTTGTCTTCTTCATCTTCGGCATCATTGGAGTTCAGCTGTGGGCTGGGCTGCTGAGGAACCGCTGCTACCCGGAGGAGAACTTCACACTGTGAGTCACTGCCTGCTGCGTGTGTGTCAGTGTGTGAAAAGCATGAGAAGAAAACCAAGTGTGAGACAATGTGAGGCTTGAGGATCTGTGACGTGTTTATCTGTTTAATTCAATTTTAAGCGGCAATTCGTAACAAAAGTTATCTCAGGACACTTTTTGAGTATAAAGGATTTAGACCGTAATTCTTATAAAGTTATTTACAGAGACCCAACAATTACCACCATGAGCAAGCACTTGGTGACAGTGGCAAGGAAAAACTGCCTTTTAAGAGGCAGAAAACTTTAGGTTGGGGTTGGAGTACATATTCATACCTGGAGCCAGGTATGAGTATTTACAAGTTGTAGCTGATGAAAAAGTAAGTATACATGTATAAAAAAAACATTGTGGCAACATGTGCTTTTCCGTAAGTGTATGTCTACATGGTTCCGTAACCTCCCCTTTCATCGCCCGCCCTCCCTCAATGTGACTCTAGAAGATTAATTACATCATCTACTCAATTTACTGATATTACCATAGAGAGAGAGGAAGGCTCTCTCTCTCTCTGTCTCTCTTGCTCTCTCTGGTTCTCAAGTGCTAATAAAATGAGGCTGATTGCAAACTAAAATTTGCACAAAGCAAATGTTATTATCTCAAAGTCAATTCTGCCACTTAATTAAAAACTGACACTCTTTTCTTTCACACCCCCCATCCCTGTGATTATAACATGTGAGTGATGTCGGCATGTACAGCAGCCTGACATAAGTTTAATTGCTCACATAAGCATCCTAGCCCTCAGTTTCACAAAAAGCCACAGAGAGTGAATAAGGCTAAATGCGATAATCCTTTCTCAGTGTTTACGCCAGGTATGTAAGATGTATTTTTTTCTTCCTTTGTCTTTTGTTGTGGGAGGAATTAGGAGCATTTTAAAATGTTGGTAAAGGTTAGGAAAAGATTGTGACACTGACTGGACCAATGTCCAAGTAACATTTTGTTGATCACCCATCCATCCTGACCTCTTCCCTAAGAGGTTTTGCTACATTAATAACAATTTAACACTACTTCTGCATTTGTTCCTGACAGACAAAAGTAATAATTCATACTATGGGCACTAGAGGTCGTTAAATAAATGTAAACATAGGACCTTTTAGGCATTTTTAACAATAATAAATTCTGTTCTTTTGAGGGCAGTAGATAATATCTGCTTAAATGGGGTATATAATTTACCATAATTACTTTATAGAATCTAGCTGTTGATTCAGATATGTTGTAAATGTGTGAGACTGGATTTGTTAAAAGGGGATGATGCTGCATTTGCACAGGGCCCAGGTATAACAATACAGTACATTCAGTATAACGTATCCATCAATTTCATCATTCAACTTTCAGAAATATAGAGCAGACATGAAAGTCTTTGTATATTTTTAATTAAAAAACTAACAGTTATTACTATTAGTTTACTGATGTCAGTTCTCCTTCTGTTGACCCAATAATATGTTATTCATATCTCATTAACATCTCATCATTTTCACAGCTTCTTACAGAACTCATTCATGCGTTTAATATTGCACCTTTTTACACTTTTTGTTTATATCAGAGTTACTTTTCTCCCAAATGACTCTCCAGCTCCCACGTCCCTGTAGCCGCGGCGTCACTTGGGAGTTTTTCGGGTCTCTCTACGGGGGCCCAGACCCCACGCTGTGCTGTGGGAAAAAAATACTCTTACTTAGTTTCAATGAATCTGCTCCTGTCGTCTCATTTGGGAACACAAGTAGCACCCACTGACCTGCTTTCCTGTGTTCTTCCAAGGAAACAACAAAGTATTTTTCCACTGCTGTTATCAATTGGCATCATCTCCTCATCATTATATACATCAGTGATTAACTGTGTTTGTGGCAAATCAGCAACTGCTGTGCACTCACACAGAGTCACAGATATGCCCTTATTTGTACACACACACATGCAAGGATGCATGTTGATACCTGCACACACACAATCACAAACTATCCCACTGATGCACACAGCAGGGTACTTGGGTTTTGGAAAAGGTCTAAGCTTTAAAATGCTAATAATGTGAACCAGATGTACTGTACCTTTCTCTCCCTGCTACCTCCAACCTTTACAGTGTGACAATTGGATGCACTTCGCTTTTTTAGTTTTCTATATCTTTTCACCTTCTCACTTTTTCCCTCTGTTTGGGGTGAGATCTTATTTTGGCGCATGCGTGAGATCATTATTGTTGCAATAGTATTGCATGGTATTTCCAGGATTAATGTTCTGTATCTCAGTGGCTGTGGGCTGTTTATTTTGGTGGAAGTGTCAGAAATTCAATTACTCTTCTGTCATGTCTTTTCAGAATCAGAGGAGAACAAATGCTGTTGTTGATTTAGGGCAGCTACCGATACACTCTCTGCTTGTGTTTTTCAAAAGCACAGGGATCACACTTGTTTTGTGTTAGGCTGTGCACGTCATCTGTTTGTGCACAGTAGCAGAAGCAACAGCTGTCCATCAGATGTCAATATCTTTCAACTTCTACCCATAACATTGTGCACAGCTGGTTTTGATTACATTCTCACACCCCATGAAGTACACCACAGTTCCCTTGCAAGATGACTTAATAGATGAAATATGTATGATTTATAGTTTTTATACCAAAACTGCAATTTGAAAGAGTTACATTTTCAAAACACAAGAGCCACAGTCTATTTAATTATTAACTATGACTAAGCAACTTTTGCAATAGTTTCCAAAATTGCAAAATGACATTCTCCAAAGATTAGATAAGATATACTTTATTGTTCTCTTGGGCAAAGATTTACTGGGCTCAGTATCTCATCATTACATGACATTAATCATTGGACATACTGAGCAGCATCCTTGCATTTCCTCATATACAAAAATAAGAAAGTAAATGTTCATTTTTCGACAATAAAACCAATATACCAATAAAACAGAAAAAAAACTGGAATGGTAAACCTAAGTACTACACATTGCACCACAATATTGCACCTTCAGCTGTAAAACCAACAACTAGATAATTGCACATGCCAATGTAAACCTTACTATAAAAGCTATGTGACGAAGTGAAGCTTCATCAACACAGCATTTCACTGCTGCTATATAAAATCTTAATGGACAATGAAACAAATTAGTTTTCATGATGTCTACATTTTGGAATTTCAAAACGCCGGCCAGAAAGCAAACGCTCATTAAAGGATGTGCAGTGAGCCTCTCTACACAGACCTTTCATAAAACTGAAGAAAATTGTGTTCTTTTCTCCCTATAACCTTTATATCCGGCTGTACAAGATGGTTGAGCTTGAGCTTTACTTGTATTGAGAGTAAATATAATGACATTCAACATCATGATTACTGAAAAAGTAAAAACCAGTAAAATCTTGACAAACTTGACAATCATCATATAGGAATACATTTCTGACATATCTTAATTGTAATAGTACAGTATGCAGGCCACCAATGCAGAAGTTTATTTTATAGAGAAAAAACTATTTTGGTTTTGAAAATTGCAATAGATATATTCTTTAATTTTTTAGCCCTATTCAATGTGATGCAAGCTAAACTTGAAATATAAGGTATTTTCATTTAATACCACCCATGTGGGGATTACCTTTTTATCACTCTGTAATTTCCTCATAATTATCTGGAAGTTCCTTCGAAATAAATATATAATTTGGAATAAATAATCAGGAAAATATATTAATTAAATTTTTGTTAGTTAGTCGTGTAGTATTTTGAAGGACTTGCTGATTGCCAGAGGGATTTTCATGAAGGAACTGCTCGATTGGAAAATGTATTCTCCACACAGTGTATGATGAATTGCATGTTTGCTTAAAGATGAATTTTATTTTATTTTTTTAAGAAAAATGACTAATGACCCTTTTTGACTAAGGTTACAGTATGCTAGATCGACAAGGAGGCCAAAGTCCCTCGCAGTCCAGCCATGTCATTGTCCCCATATCAATATCAATAGTTTCACAAAGTAATAATAGGCCATATGTAACTTACTGTTGGCCACAGCCTGAAGTAACGAGTTGAATAACAAATGGAATGTTAGATGATCGCTTAAAGGGGGCAGTTTACTTCTTGTCGCTTGTCACCATCCTGTGGTGCTCAGAGGACGAGGCACTGAAGGGCTACACTTAGTGCTGGAAATAAATTCTAAAGTAGTTTTTTTCATTTAATTAATTCCAACACATTAATTTATACACACAGTTTCACTGTAACTGCTTAGTAGGTGTCCTTTATCAGTAATTAATGGGCACCCTGCAGCCAATCAGAATCGACTATTCACTCAGTCCATGGTATAATTGGAATTAATTACCTGGAAGTGTACTAATTGAACACTGTTTCCATTTTCCTATAATTAGCACTTCATAGGAATCTTCCTCTGAATATGTACGTTTCTTTCTAGGAAATCAGTGTTACCTCTTGGGGTCATTTCATGCAGTTGGTTTTGATTACACTCTCACACCGCCTTCACCACACCACAGAGCCTTTGAAGATAACTGATCAGATGAGATTAGACAAGAACCCAGTCATTATATCATATCAATGCACATGTTTTAATGTGTATCTAAATGTTGTTGAGGGTTTTATGTTCTCCCCTGAGTATCCAAGAGTGCATTTGTTGTGCAGGGTGAACAAATGCCTGTATGTGGGACAGCAGGGTGATTTCCGTGAATTTATTTAATATATGCAGTCAGTAATGAATTATGATGACTCCCTTCATGTCCCCTGATAACAACAAAAGAAAATAGTAAATCCAAATTAGGAGCTGGAAGCTTAACAGGTTCCCATATATCTCTATGATTAAGAGTACAGCTAATACCACTGTGAAAACACAGAGCTCAGACAATAACTGGGATTGGGTCGTGCGAGTTAGAGCCTGGGGAAATCTGTGGCCAAGCGTTTGATTAGGCCGGTTTGGCTGCACGGAGGAGTGGGCTGGACGGCGGTCTGCGCTGCCGAGCCCAGAGAGAAAATAATGATCTGATGAGAGGCTGTGGGGTAAGCCATTGCCATGGTAACCAATTCAGAGATGAGATGGTGAGGGGATGTAATCATGGGATGTCCTGACCCACCTGAGTTAATTTCAGTAATGTTATCCAATGTTGGTAAAACATGCACACAAGCATATTTTATTTATTTTTTTCCACAAAGCTGATGCAAACTATGTCAGCTGCAAATCAGAGTGTTTCCTGGAACAGAAACAGGCGGAATAAAACACACACCTTTGGCTTGTTACTCTGCTGTCAGGAGTCCAAAGTGTCCTCATGTGTAAAATGACTGCTGTCTGTCTGTCACTGTCTGGTGGCGAACGTAATCACCTCAGTATACAGAGACACAGGCGATGTCCAATCTGATAATGAGCTAGGCTGTGATATCTGCTGTCACTGGACGTTGGCTCGGTCACGCGCAGAGGTGGGGATTAGTGGGTGGGGTGTGCGATGGGAAGATGAGTAGAACAAGTGGGTGGAGTGTCACGTTTTTCTGACATACACTTGCTCTTCCCAGGCCGCTGGTTGGCAACGAGACAAAAATGAAAGCAACAGAACTCATTGGTGATCAACAGGAAATCATAATAGAGGTTTATTCGTACAGACACACACTGTAATGAAGGTTTTCTTCCTCCTGACACACAGACAATGCCATGTGGAAAGCCAGCAGGTGAAAGGAACCATAACTTTGCTGAGTTAATGTCTTTGAAATGAGTGTTCTAGGCAGGTGGGCTTAAAAGGCACACAGAGTTAGGAATAGAGAGACGAATAGAGACGTATTTGACATTTTATTTTTTTTATTAGTGCTGGGTTCATTTTCAAATCAGATGCACGATCTGCTGTATAAACAAATATTGTCGTAAGTGGTATTTATAACTACACTATGACAAACTTCCGACCTGGCATGAGTTGAATAAGTCTCAAAAAAGCAATTTTACCATACTGGTTGGTAATCAGGTGTATTATAAAAACTAAATTGTTATTTTCTCCCCCAACTAAAATCTCATGCTTATGAAAACCTAACAATATGTATTGCAGCCCACAATTGTTTGTTTGTAAGTCTTTATTTGTTATCCAGTGTGGGCCATCCAGTGAAACAGATTCATAAATGCTTACAGAAATAAATAATTCTTCAATTAGACAATTAGATGCCTCGGATTTTACTTAGTTTGATTAACATATGTGACACAACAGGGAATCTCAAAAGCACATAGCAGGACTCACATAACAGAGTTTTTAATTTGTAGTACTATATTAATTTATACATACATACAACACATATTTGTTATTAAGGTTTGAATAAAGCCAGAAACATTTTCCCCTAGCTGCTTTGGCCTTGTATTTGGTTTAGGTAGCCAGCTTTGCACAGCCAGGAAAGAGTTGGCAAAGGTGCTTGTAACCTAATTGCACCCTCAGGAATAAAGAACTGATAAACAAATAGAAAGTAATCGGACAAAAAAACACACTCTCGTTTAATAAAGTGCATAATTAATGAGACACTAGGCCAGACTTCAGCACTTTTCATAAATCTTGCACAATTAATGACACATTAAAACAAGACTTCAGTACAATCTCCTGGGCAGCACAAACAGATCGAAGTAACTGTTGAGTTGAAAAAGCAGAATTGAACTGTTGTTGAAGCCCTTGCATCCTCTTCCTTCAGACCTGTTGAATGTGGTTTTAATTTTTAGTGTGCTTTTGTGTATTGTCTGCAGTAAATGTTTTATACTGGTTTGTTTTTTTTGTTCCTAAAGGTTCAACTTAAAGTTGTAGTTATTGATTTTTGGGGGCAGTAGAACTCCACAACAAGCTGACCAACCCACAGCCTAACCTTTTTAAGATGTTCTATGTTGTTATTGCTAAGGTGTTAACATTTGCCTGTTTACTCATCCAGAGCCACATTAACTTTCATTTTGAATAATGTTTCTGACCACCTGACAAATATAAGTCCAATATTTACTCTCTGTTTAGTTCTGGTTTGGTCTTTGGTCATGTAAGCTTACTGTCTGGTTGTAGCTTTATATTTATCAGACTTTGGTAGTATTGATCTTCTCATTTAACTTCCGGCTATGAAGCAAAATTTGTTTTTTCTAAGAGATCAAAATATTAGTTACTGTGCTTTAACTATTAGAACTTAATAGACTAATCAACCAATAACCAAAACATCATCAGAGTTACATCATGCGGTAATTACATTAATATCAAAATGCATTTCCTGGATGCTAAGCCATACTTGTGGCACATTCGGGTTAGGCTTTAATTGACCTTATGAGCTAATATGGTTGCAACTGAGATGAGTTGATGCAACCGAGTCAGCTGATATGATGGAAATGAGGAATGATACGATGGAAAAAATAATGAGGAAATAGAGACCTTGTGAGAAATATCCAGGGCTACACTGTAAACGTAACTGATGTAAAAAGGCTGCGGGTCTCGTCAGGTAATAGCTTCTATTCAGTGCGGTACAATACAGAGAGGCAGAGTCAGTGAAAGAGATACAAAGAGCGTGACAAAGACATAGACTGACTGAGAGGCAGGGTAGTACTCACAATGCTACTTCTGTCGAGCCTTCTCAAATACCAGGTCAGATGTAATTGCTAACCACTGCCTGCATTCATCTGTATCTCTTTCTCCGGTGTCTGCCCTTTAAATAGCAACCCACTCCCAGATTAAAGTGAGATCACACAGCGCTTTGCTGTTCTTTGTCTTCAGTGTATACCTTGCTCTTTTTGTAACGACAAGGCAAACACCTTTATTGTCTCTTATTTTTTCCCCCTCGTGTTATTCTTGTTTGTTTTTATTCTTCCTGTCTTACCTCCCTCTTTCAGTTATTGATCTTTGATTGCTTTCCTTCCCTTTTTTGTTTCTTGTATTGCGTCATTCCTGCCTTGCATTTTTCTACCTTTCTCTACTTCTTCCCTCATTTCTACCGTATTGACTTTCTCTCTTTTCTCATTTCTTTCTTTATATGGCATATATACTTAGACCCCCCCCCCCCTTTTAGCAATTGTCATTCTTTGTCATATTCTTTCTGTCCTATATCCAATTTCTTCTTACCATCATTCTGTTTGCTTTCTTCATGCCTGGCTTTAATTTTATCCTAGTGTGTCTTCCTCTTCTTGTATCCTTCCCTGTTATTTCCAACATCTTCGAATGCTGTAGTTCAACTTGCAACTCATTCAACATAGTAAATTCATATGTATGCTGCTTTTGGCCTATTCCTCTGTCAGTCTCTGTAAAAACCCTGACACACCAAGTTGACTGCAAATAAAAAACGTCAAAATAAGGTTACACTTTAACGCCTTCCAAAAACTATAGCTGCCAGCTGATCTCTGATCTGCATGTTTTTGCAGTCCTAAGAACATCATAGAAAGACACACAAAATATTTTCTTGCTGGTGTGAATTAGATTTAACAGTACAAACACTATAAAGTTTTGCTTTGGCTTGGTGTTTCTCAGCCTACAGTATGTTTGACTGCTTACATTTCTTCTGTTAGTCTGTTTGTGGAAGAAGAAAAAGTGGCAAGTAAATAGATGGCACATTAAATGAGTGAAATCCGTGACGCGCTAAGCTGAAGATGCCGCTGCTTACCAAGACTGCCTTTGTTGCCAGTTCGAAATGATAAATCTGACAGCAACAAATATGTGTACAATACAGCCAACAATGCTGAACTACAGTAAACTGTCAGACACACAACACTGGACAATCTCTGTCAGAAAAGCTCAGTGTGTCAGGGTTAATGCGTCTCCATCACTGCCTCTCAGTTTGTGTGTATCTGGTGTCATTGTCTTTCAATTTTACCATTACAAACATAATCATCTCTCTCTCTTTCTCTCCATCCTTTCATCCAATCATCTCTCTGTCTACGGTCATTTTCTGCTTTCAGGTCTGATCTTATACCATGCACACAAATATTGGAAATAGCCATGAAGGACAAGTGGTTTATGCTGTGTCTAAAATTCCCATAACAACCTAGCACGAATGCACACAGACACATACTTTGCTCTGATGGCATGTCTTACTACAAACCTCAGTGTTATTGTGGAATATTACGAATGGAGAGCGCTTTTTGTCTGGCATCAGCAGGAGATCTTTTTTGTGAGTAAGATTGATGATGATGTAATTGTGTCTTTTAGCAAACAGAGCAAATTACATAACTCTCTTTACAACATACTGTGTCTGCACTATCCAGGCTTAAAATGTATTTCCACAGTCATAGTTTATGCCCGGCTTCAATTTGGAGTATATCGCAGACCTTTTACGTGGCCTTTAGCATGAGTCACTGTTCAAAACCAGACAAAGAAGTGAAATGACTGCTCTTTGGTATTTCATAACTGAAATATTTTAGCTTTCCAAAAATACCTTGAGTGTTACAACCAAGAATGCCTAGGATGATGAAGTGTTGCCCACTTAGATTCTTCTTTCAATGTAAAGATTAGTTTCTTCGATTTTTGTGCCCAGTTAGCGCAACAGTCACAGAAGTTCATATTTATGGACTTTCTTTAACGTTGCTTTGTCTTTAACCTGATAATTTTTATATCTTTCCTCTCTCCTCTTTTCTTTATTGTTGACCCTTCATATTTTACTTATTTTTGTTCCAAAAAGTTTATGCTGCTCACTGTTTTTGTATTTCAAAGCAAATTTGAGTGTGTAAGAAATATGAAATAATCTCCACTTTCTCCCTTCACACCTCCAGGGCAACCGGTATCAGTCTGCCTAAACCCTACTACATGGCTGACGAGGATGACGAGCGACCCTTCATCTGCTCCCTGCCAGTCGACAATGGCATTATGTCCTGTTCCGACGTCCCTGCCCGCCGCGAGGGAGGGAGAGCGTGCTGCCTGGACAAAGACGACGCCCTGTATCGCCAGTCGCTGGGCCTGAGCCCCGAACCTCTGGCCAATGGGAGCGTCAGTGTAGCAGGGCTCTGTGTTAACTGGAACCGTTACTACACCCGGTGTCACACTGGGCATAGCAACCCACACAAAGGAGCCATAAACTTTGACAATATTGCCTATGCCTGGATTGTCATCTTCCAGGTGAGAATCTGCTAAACCTGCTACATATAAACAGACCACCAACCAGACTGCTTTGTTACCTTTTAAATGTGTTTGTATTAATATTAAATTACATTACATTATTGTTTTAAGATGGGTTCATCCACATCCACAAAACTTCATGGAATAAAAACCTACCAAAGTGCTACTTAGTTACTTAGTTAGTTAGTTTATTGATCCCAGAGGGGAAATTAAGATGTGACAGCAGCTATACAGTAAGACCAGTTCAGTGGAACAGGAAGCAGCAACCAAAATGAGTAGGAAATATGCATGGCACTGTGTCCTGACAGTACAAAAGTTCATGTCAAATGGCTTTGAAAGTTATTATAAATACAAATCAGAAAATAAATAGGCAGTTTAAGGCATAGAGTTGACTAGATTATAGATTTGCATCATCTTTAGCATCATCTTCTTATATCATTTCCTTCCTATTCCAGGCAACTGGTGGAGACTACATTAAGTTACTAGAAAAAGTCCAAAACAGAATGCCCAGTAATATGGTCATTATTTATATAATATGTTTATATGATATTGTTGCATTCAGACAGAGCAGGCTAGCTGTTTACCATTGTTTCTTGTCTTTATGCTACATTAGGCTTACTGGCTGCTGGCTATAGCCATGTGCTATTATGTTAGCAGATAGACGTGAAAGTGGTATCAATCTTCTCATCCAACTTCCCCCCGCCAGAAAAAAAAACAAGCACATTTCACAAAACGTCAAACAGCTCATTCAACAGTTGTCTTACTGTCACCTTTATCTTTGACTGTAGGTGATCACTCTGGAGGGCTGGGTGGAGATCATGTACTATGTGATGGATGCTCATTCCTTCTACAACTTCATCTACTTCATTCTACTGATTATTGTAAGTCACACTCATACACTTACAGTACAGGATGTGAGCATAGGGCTGAGTGGTATGTTTGAAATCAATATCATCATAAAGTCTATAACAAGGATATTTTCAGATATTTACCCAGTTTTAATACACACAGGTATATATACTATATACACGGAATGAAGTTGTAGTTTCTGCAGTCAGCCAACTTGCACACTTTTAAATGTCCTTCCAGCTGATGACTGCAAGGAAACACTATCACTTTCTCTCTCTCCTTCTCGCTCTCTGTCTCTCTCTCTCCTACACACCTATGCGCGCACACACGTACCGAACTACAATCACACAAGGCTGTCTGTGTCAGAGTGAAAGCTGAGCTAAAATCCCCAAAGAATCCCCCTTTTGTTCTGATAAAACACTTTTTAATTCCAGTCCTTTAGCTTCTCTGTCTGTATGTGTGCCGCAATGGGTGTGTATGCTTTTGTGTGCGAGCGCTGATGCATGTTCCCCTCAGTATATTTCTTTTTTAGCCTGTCAGAGAGTATGTGCGTGTGTGTGTGAGTAAGAGTGCTATCATAATGCAGTGTGACTGCCAGTCCCTGTTACTTCCCCAACCCAGGGGCTGTCTTGTCTTTTTATTACACTTTTAATTGTCTGCCTTCAGATTCAGACACAAGCTCTGCCTCTCTTCTCTCCTCTTGTCTTATAAACTCTCCCTTCATTTTTCATCCCTTCATTTATTCATCCATTACTCTCTACATCTGTCTATATCCTTAAATCTGTCAATCTCTGCTCCTTGCCACCCTACCTTTCCTGCCTTTTCCTGCCATCTATCAATCATTACACTTCCTTCAATCCCTCCCTCCTTCATCCCTCTCTGCCTCATCCATACTGTTTCATTCTCTTCCTTAACGTCCTTTCTTCCCCTCTTTCCTTTCATCTCTACCACCTCCTGGCTCCCTTCATCCACTCCCCTCCTGCCTTCATTTCATCTCCCCTTTATCGCTGAGCATCATTCATGCATCTGTCGCTCGACTCATTATTCTCAGTCACACAGAAACGCACACATACACTTACAAACAGGCACACACATCCAGTTATCAACACACAGCAAAATGTGCCAAAAGTTGAGTGAGCATTCTTCTGGAAGGCCAGTATTCTTGTTAAATGATGTTTTGACCCCTGCAGTGGGTATCATGCTGTGCTGTCATAAATCTGCTGAGCCCCATGACAGGCGGCACAGTTTCCTAACCCTGACCTAACTTGTTTTTAAGCTGCCTTAAACTTTTACTCTCACCCAAGCAAGGAACAGATACTCTGTAGGCTTTTATCTGCACTTGATCTGCTTAAATTACCTCACTGGTCCCAGTAGCTTGGCAGGCATCTTAATGCCATGCCCGCTCAGCAGGCCAGCCGTCATCACTGCTTAGTTGGCTATACTTAACTTACAAATAGTTACATCAGAAAACACATTTATTAACACACACACACGGAAAAGGACACATTCCAATGCTCTTTTTCAGATTTGCTGTGAGACGTTATCTTTTACATCAAGCCCCTAAAATTGCCTCACTACAGATGACTCGTGATATGATGGTTGTCGTTTGATGTTAAAAAAAGTAACTGAGGAGGGTTAGAGGGAGAAGGAAAGGAAGGAAGAAAATTACTGAGGACAGGAGATGGAAAAAGGATGATGAAATGGAAGAGAAAAAAGAGTTATGGAAGGAAATGGAGGAGAAAGATGGGCAGTGAGCTTAAGCATAGGGGTGATGAAGAGCGGGGAAGCGGAGGAGGGATGGGAAAGGGGTGGATGGATCGATAAAGGGAAGAAACCAGGAGGTGGTGATGATGGACTTGAGTGTCGGCATGAAATCAGAGAGAGGATTGGAGGATGGGAGAGAGGAAGCGACCACATGTTGGTCTCCCTCTTTGATCTTAAATGAAATGTTATTAATTAGAGCGAATCCCTCAGCATGTCCTCCGGGCTCACATGGTTGGAGCAGACACACTGATCACAGCATCAGGTTTAACAGTATGTCATGCAATATGTCTTGTCCTCCAACCTTTAGCATTACAATGCTGTATAATTAGGCAGGTTTCAGAAACAAAGGCCCTTTGTTACACGGTGCATTGAAATATTAAACAGAAGACACGGCCTAAAATATCAAAAAACAAAGAAAGGAAGAAACTTTTTCCAAAGAAAGTAAAATGACTAATCAAAGAGGAACATAAAAGTCCTTAATCTGGACTTCAATATGGTCAAAGTAGGGCGCACAGGTAGCTTACCCGGTAGAGCTGACGCCCCATGTACCAAGGCTGAGTCCTTTTCGACTCTGATCTGCTGCCCCCTCCCCTTCCTCTCTTCACTATCAATTAGAGGCAATAGAATACACCCCCCATCTATATATATATATGTATATATATACATAATTAAAGTGAACTCTGGGAATGGTTAGTAGACAGATCACTTTATTCTTCTATTAGCAGCAGCTGTAAGTGTCTTGTAGAATATAAAAATCACCACTCAGTTCATTAATACAGTTAAGAAGCTAACAAGAATAATATTGTTCAATTTTGAACAAAGGATTTATATACAATTAAAATTACAATGTCAGCACTCTATGTAACAAATATGAATTTTCATTGCTTAATCTTTAATAATAAAAGTACTTCAATGAGAAACCAGAGATCTAAAAATTTGTGTGACAACTTTTTTATTCTCGGTATCTTCATCAAAAGTAACTACATCTGCATTTGCCTCTATGGTATGTGTAAAATATATCACCAGGGAAACATTCAACACGAAGATCCTCCAGATTCAGGGTCAAAATGAACTTCATTGCTCCAAAAATGTTTGTATAAAGTATCTAGAGCAGAAATGCCTGCAACGTTATCTAAATAAGGTATCTCAAGATGAATACACTCTAATTCATCATGCTTGAAAGTGTGGCATCATAGCAGGATCTGACTCCCTGCAGTTGTTGCAAATCTGTCCTTTTCCCCCACAGAGAAAATATTTGACAGTCAGGCTTTTGTCGGCTTTGTTGCAACGCATTTTAACGCTTGTCTCACAAACCGACTTAGTGGAGGAAAGTGATTTGAGCGTTACTATTCACACGTTAAACGTTCTGTTCATATCCTCGCCTGTCCTCATCTCACTAGCAGACAGACGAGAAGACCTTTAATTATGTTTTCTTTAATACTGCATGACAGTGAGCATGGAGAGATGGAAGAGAGCGAGTGACACCGAATGAGACAGACAGAAGGAGAGGAAGGGGAAAGAGAGCGAAATAGGGGAGAGAGAGGTTTAGGTTGTATTTAGATGCTTTTATAATTTTACTCACGTAACACTCTGCAGATTAAGTGTGTTAAATTCAATTGAATTGAGAGGTAGAGTGGGATGAAGAGTGAGTGATATGAGAGTGCAAAAAAGGGAGCTAGATGAAAGCTGATGAGAGAGCGATGGAGAGAGAGTGTGACAGATGGAGAGACAGATGAAAAAAGTGAGATAAAGATGGAGAGAGTTTGAGAGATGGTGTATACTGATCACGATCATGTAGAGCAGTTTAAACCAGAGGACTGAGCGGAATTAAAGGCTTCCCGTGGCAAATAGCTTGGCCCTGTGGAATTAGGTTTAACATCCAGAGATGCCAGCCTCAACCTGTTTTGTTAGAGAGCCACACAGTGTGATAAGCCTTTTGATTTGACACTTTATAAGCTGCCTTTGCACTCACTTATACCTGGTGTTAACATTCAGCCCATACATGGATATGGATACAAACACCTGATTGATCTCAAGTAATACCCACATCTGTCACGCAAATATGTTTAGGATTTAGTTGATCTATGATATGACTACACACACATACACACACAC